TAAACCAATGAAAATCTACTTTTCCTACACGTAACTTGAATATTTCGGCTGTCACTTGCTTCCTTGTCGTACCGTCGGCTCGATGTTGACGCTCCAACATCAACCATATGATGTTGTTGATTATTCCGGCATGGTAATATTATCCAATAGGAATGTAGGACTGAGATAAGACATGTAAAAAATGGTCTTATGTAAAATTTGGCGTGATCGTCTTCTGCTTTATGGCAAGCAGTTGGCGACCACGTCACACACATTAATTTCTTATTTGCATCGGCACTTCGACTACCTTCAAGAAATTAGACGTGCATTTAGAGCATATCTCAAAAGTTCTCTTGTGATGTATCCGTATCTTAATGCTCCAAGTACTATCTACAACTTTTGACAGTCCCGAGTCGTACATAACGCCTTCAAATTTTCATAGATTCCACGGTCCCACACAACCCTAGACGTTGATATTAGTAGCCAACGGTACTATTTGGGCCCTCAACCATTTATAAGTAGTTACTCCGCTTGGGCCGGGTCCCGATGACCACGACTCCGAAAAGAATCCTTGGCTCAATTCTTTCCTAGGAAGCCGTTCTGCGCCTAATGAGCTCGAGAATTCCCTGTAAGGGGTTATTGGAGAACTTTGCGTGGAAGCTCAACTGTTCACACTTCTCATCCGAAAGGGAAGGTGGTACGCAAGCTGAAGTTGTATGACGTTGTCGGCATCTGCAAGTACCGAAACGATGTTCTCCATCTCGATATGGCATAAGACCATCGACCCAGCCGCGCTAAAAAAGCTTCCAGTTCCGGTATCCCACCCAGCTCTAGTAGCACAGAAGTTGTTTTTTGCATCAATGTGATACCTATCGCTACCTCAAAAGTGCTAGGATGGGTAGGTCAGGTCTTGATGAGAGCTGCAACCGTTCGGGTACCTTCATGAAGATGAAAACTGCTGAGGGTCTAATGGGTCTAGCGTTTTATTACCTGAACAAAGTCCTCCATTTCTCGCCTCATTTCGCCGGCGGACAAGATCTTCGAAGGCATGATGAGGTATTTCAGACACCTGCTTTCTCATGCTGAGAACCCCCTTCCACAAAGGTGTTGCACGTTGATCATTCTCGCGCGCAGATTCCAAGCTGTAAATTCGCGAGTTCGACGCCCTGTTCTTCACATTTTTGAATCACGGTCAAGTTCGTGGCGATCATACCTTTCTTCGTTAAAAAGATGAGACCTTTACTACAAAGGACTAGACTCTCAATATCAGTTGCCTAACACTGAAGTCCATCCTTCTCCCACTAACGCTAAAATGGAGCGCTCGTGAATTAAACTTACCTCCAGGCGACCAGCTGCACCTCCACACGCTGACCACTGGTTGCGGGTCTGCGAACCTTTCAAGTCATACGCTTATTAAACGTGTTTGGCTGTTCTTAGGCACGTAATAGAACATCGCATGTTTCATTGTAACAGAGGGCACAGCCCTTTCACGACTTGATTGTGAGTTTGACTTCAAGTGCTGCCAAGTGTCATGAGATGGTCGTACACGTTGCACTGTAATATCCTCAAATCAAAATGTCCCCGTATACAGCGCGCTAGAGGTTTGATTCATGCGTTTCATCGAGAGCCTCTATACAAATGTAATTTATCACTTCGTTCTGCTTATCCAAGAGTGTTATATACTTTAATTAAACTATCACTTAATATTAAGGTGCTTCCGTGTCTCATGATGAAGCTGTATGAAAATCTAGATGTACAATTCGCACCCCATGTGTACTGGTCTATAGTACGATATTACCTCTGAGCAGCGCACAATTGCACAAAAGTGATATACAATTTCGGTGCAGTCACTTAGAAATAGAATGTGTATGCACACAATTGTACAGTACACACCCCGTGACACCCTCTCCATAGAGATATGAAGCTCACAATTAATTTGCGCTTTACGCCATTGAGCAACAGTGAGCGGTAGACAAGGTGAGAGGAGTTTCACTGCACTCTATCACTCTACAGTGTTTGCCCATACGAGAATCTTCACGCCGAGGCTCCTCTCCCTTATACACCTCTCACACAGCTCATGAAACCATTGACAAAAGCGATGTCCTTGCGACCAACACCCCATGAGTTATATAGGTCGAGATTCTTTCCGATAATAGTGGTCGCAGTGACTTCTAAATTCTGGTTTAAATCTCCACCCACGCCGATAGAAGAGACAAAGCTGTTCGCTGACAGCTAGGCGTCCTCTGTGATCCGCCTGTTACTGCAGAAATCAAACACTTCGTTCCGTTTTTTTACGTTGGACACCCTCGGCCAACGAGCGCCACTCACCGCGCCAACCACGGGCGACGGATTTCATCGTCGAGAAGTTGGGGGTAGTCGACTACAAGTCGAATACTCTTTTCCCAGGATGAGAAGAAGAGGAGGGCGAGGCGCGTCAACGGCGCGACGTGAGCCCTGCTCTAATTTTTTGGATACCGTGTACGTTTCTCGACCTCTCGACCTCCGGGGGAAGTGGTATCATTACCAATCACCTTGACGAGGCACAGGAGCAGCAGCTGGAGGCTGCCCGCAGGGCCGCGATACGCGTGCATTAACGGCCGGCCCTACACTTTTGTGTGAAAATTGGGCCCGCTCTCAATACCATTACTTTGCTGCTTTGCGCGGAGCAACCCCGTCCTTCCTTCTGACACATGGTGCGCCAGATCATAATTGGCAACGACACTTGGACGAGTTTGACGAAGTGATGTCTCACATTTACACGAGTATTCGGAGCGAAAGCATATCTTCCACTATTTCAGATACTGAGAACAGCTTCAGCTATCAGGCCGTCTTCAACACAGCCCTGGTGTATCCACTAACCCACCAAACGTTTCACGTGATGGCCACTTCTCGCTCATCGAGCAGTGCTGGCAATGATAAAACTCCTGCAGCCTCCTGCAGCTGGCTCTCGTAGGCTTTCACAATCATAACGGTATATGCGTTTTCTTCAAAATTTAGCGTGTGGTCGAAGCTGAGATAGGTATTTCGTGTGCGCCTTTCGAGCTACGCCATCGCACTGATTGGCTTGAGGTATCCCCAGTGGCTCAACATCGTATCGCTGCCCTAATGTTGACGCCAGCTCAGTTACCGTAATGGTTGAGACGTCACTTCGCATCCAATAGTGCTCTTTATTTTCGACAAACTTGTAAGAGCTGGATTGCTGCATGACTTTGGTAGTCTCACGTAGATCACATCACGAGATGAGTTTTTTTTCTCTTCAAGATGTCAAAAGTGGGACACAATGCAACATTTTGAAGAAGCATTTTGGTATATGAGAATTGCGGCAATGAGGACTGGTCCTGCTAGGTATCCAGTCTACATTCAGTAACAAAAGACCAGCGATGCGAATTATGTGCTTCACCAAAACTAACCTTACCAGTGGAAAACTGAAGAAGCTAATTATCGTTATGCTAGCTAGTGCATTTCAAAGGCTGGCCTCTCTATCACTTCGAATGATACTTAAAACAACCGATCATTGTCCATCTTTACAATGTGCACATTCGTTCAATCCTTTGCCTCTAGTCCATAATTGTGCAATAACCTTCTAGGGTGATAACACAAAACTGAATGCGCAGACTAATCGCCTACAACTTAATTCAAAAGCTTTTTAAAGATGTTTAAACCAGATTGTTCATCGCATCTAAGTGTATCAATCACAAACTATTCTTCGTTACATTCATTTAAATGATCTTTGGTACAAACCATTTCAACACCGTCAGCTGTCACATCGTCCTTTTCATCCACTACAATTGTTTCAAGAACATGTTCAATATTACTCAAGTCACTTGATTCCTCTATCCCCTGAGTTTTCTGTACAAGTTCTTGTGCAGCTCGTAAAACTACCTCCTCTTCACATTCCTGTTCTTCTAGTTCAGCTTGTTCTGCACTGGCACTCTTTGGTAAAAATGGTTCACCTGGACACATGGCTTCAAAAATAGCGCGAGCATTCGCACTCGCATTCTCTAAATGAAGTTCTAATGGGTTTACAGTATAACCCGATTCATAGCGTTCAAACGATGTTTCACAGACATAAATGTTCGATGGAAGGTGTGTACTCTGTAACTTACCGGTCGAGGGACCAAATGTAAGGTGGTCCACTGTAAAAATGACATGCCACGCAATTTCGGGATTCCAGTTGTTTTCCTCGGAAGTTGCCAGTTGAGAACTTGTCTGTTTTTCTGCTTTAGAACTCAGAATCAGACGTCGTATAACCAATTGCATCAGCTTAAGTTCCTTTTCTGATTCATGAACCCACTCAGGACTCCAAGGAGTTGAGACATGCACTAAAACGTAACCCTTTGGACACGCATACACTCCTGCATCCAATTGGATCACTTGAATTGCAAATGGGTTATGAAATTCCTGATCGTCAGGAGGAATGACAAGCATGAGACGGTTGACACCATGACGTAGTGAGTTTCTTAATAAGAATATACCACGCAACACTTTGCCATGGCCACGTCCTGACATGCCACTCGGATACAAACTTGTTGCATAACTGCCATTTGCCACAATATGCTTTGCACGACATATATTGCCATCTGTGGCACGTACACCACAAACACTTTTCGTTTCTAAATTCAACACAAACGCGTCAATAGGTGCGCGAAGCACGTAAACACCACCATAGACAGCACTCAGTCGACAGAAACTTTGAGCTAATTCGCTTATGCCGTATAACGGTGTGAGAAATGCGGTACCAGCGAATCGACCAATGGATGCCACATAACGGTATACCGCCACAAGTCCATCCCGAGCGGAAAGTTGTTGATTTGTGGCAGAGAATGTTGCCAATCCAACACAATAGACAATAATTTGCTGCAACTTATTGGAAAGATGAAAATATTGTGCTAAGAAGTCGTGAAAAGACATTTCGAGGTACGAAGCAAGTGCAACTTCATCGTCGACTTGACTAAGTTTGTTTTGCGGTCGTTTTAAAGCACGTCCAAGCGCAAGAGACCGCTCGTTTTTGGTCTTTATGTCTTCGTGCAAAATGTGCGTGTCGCCATAATCTGCCACAAATTGAAGAAATTTCATTAATTGTCGCTTTTCAACCATTCCCAATAATTTACTTTGAAAAACATCCGTTTTAGAACACGGTACATGCCACACAGTATCAGACTCAGAATTATCTAAGGTGGGCAAATGAACGTATGTCCGTTCAATGGCGGCAAATTCAAGATACCTCCCAACTCCCGACGTAATTAAGGTCTCAACGAGCTGCTCTGATGACAGCAAAAGCCGTGGATTCACATCAATACTGAATGCCGAAGATTGTCCCAATAATTTCGTCTTTGTGGCATTATCCACAAAACACTCTTGTAGTAATTGACACTGGAAGGAATGTTGCATTGGTATCACTTGGTGAATAGTATCATCAAGTGGTCCAATTGACTTTGATGCAACTTGGCCACTTTTTTCGTCATCTTCTTCTCTAGGAGCAATGACTTCATTCTTTGTCCACCGTCGAAATTGAGCTAATGGGAAAGATGCATAATTACTGCCATAGTAATCGTTCTAACAATAACAATAAATTGGAATCAGTTGCATGCATAATACCAAATATTACAATTTGCTTGTACAATACCTGGTCTAAGTGCAACACTTTTTTGCCAATTCGTGCCAATGCTCTATGATCAAAACCACCATAAATAATGTCACCACATTACTACATAAGAATGAACTATTTTAAAATCGTACCCTGCTAAAATACCCTCCACCATGCCCGTACCTACAACCACCACATCATACTCGCGTTCGCTTAGACTTGGATCCATATTAAATCACTATATGTAATGTAGGAAAAGTTCGATAAATGACGCTATCTTTAGCAAAATATTGTGTAGCCAAGAGCGCAGAAACGAGATGTAGACGGAGGAGGCAGTTAGCGCGATGCAAGTGATAAAGGAAATCGTGGCGAGATGGAAAGGGAGTGGGATAAATGGATTAAAGACTTTATATCGAAACGACCCAATGTGGTTGACCCAACGGAAAAATTGTCTTAAATGTTTGCTCAAATTTATCCAATTGGACTTTAAGTTCTTATATTGGTAGAAATCCTCACTTCCCTTGTCAGTGCTTAATTGAAACCTTTTGCAGTACCGTGTTCTTAAGCATAACTGTGTCTTTCACAAGGAGATGTGCCGCCACCGCCGAATCGTCGGGTTCAGCAACCAGTTTCAAGCACATGAACGATGCTGCTGCATCTCAACGAGAAAGTGCCGCTGGCAACGACACAAGGATTTACATGCACAATACGACGACAGTGATGTCGGCAAGGGTCTTAAGCATTGAGCGCTTCTCTTCATCGGACAGATATCGAGCTGACAGCAGGTGTGTGGATACGCCTAGTCGAATAGGTACAAGGTAAACAAGCTCGACCAGCATCTACGAGGTAGGCTGAATCCTTCTAGCAGCGGCCTACTGGGCGTTAATGGCCCACGCAGTCGACACGCTGACACGCTATCATGCACATCAAGATTGACAACAATGAGATGACAATCGCTGGGACTTATCGAGGTGACTAACCATTCACTGGTACAAACGACAGCACAGTTTCTTGTTTCAACTATTAAGGCTGTGGTGAAGCTCAAGGACCTTGGCGTTGCAGTATATTTTTGGCAATGCGAGTGCAGATTAATCACTTTATTGATTGCAAGCTTGACCAAATGTTTGCTACTGTAGACATGTTAACCAAGATCGGGTGAAGATCGACGAATCAATGCATGCGACGAACAGAGGAGAACTTTGGTAGACACTTGCTTGTCCGAGCTACTTACGCACGCGACGAAGTTGACATGATCAGCGCAACCAAACAGCAAATAGTTTCCAGTCATTGGTGAGAAGTTTGCCGTGAACCGCGAGACGCACGTGATTGATTATCCTGTTTGGTTAGACTTTGCGCGACTCGCCAAACACATGCACGACAACGAGGTATTGGAAGCTCCCATACTTTATCTCCCGATACATCAGCAGCACTTGATGGCACAAACTCTTCATTTCAGTTGATGAAGAAACCAATAAACTACCGCTGCGGCTGCGCTCATACGCTGATGTCGACTTTGCGGCTGCCAAGGACGACTGAAAGTCTGCAAGCACGGCGTTCATTCAATCGAGCGATCTGACGGTATCATGGCAGTGCAAGAAGCAGCATACTGTAGTCGACAATAGAGGCAGAACACGTCGCTGCAACGGTGGGCACTGAAGAGCGACTCAAGTTGAAAAAGCTGCTAGATGAGCATGACATCGTTTGCAAGTTTTTATGGCCGTGCAGGTGGCTATCGTGCAAATAAGGAGCTACGAGAGAAGTTTGGATTTGTCAACATCGAGGGATACAGAAACACGGGGGTTCCATGGAGGAGTGCTGGACATCAATAAAAAACCAGCACACGTGCAGGCGACTGGATCCCAAAATTTTAAGGATCTTAATGAATGAGTCGAGTCGACGACGCTGAAAGCACGAATTCGATTAGGTTACGCTATTGAGACCAATCATATCAGGCGAATGTGCTGGGATCTATCTGGTAGTTAAGTCACAGAGAAAAGATCAAGAACATGAGCCCAACTAGAAGAATAGCGTAATATGTGATTTGGAATAATAGAAAATTGTTCGATGACGCACTCAATTCTGATCTAGCACCTTAAAGTGTAGCAACATGAAGTTCCTCCTAACTCGCTCATGACTAGTGAAATATCTGTTGACATATAATCTGTAGCATGATGTTTTTGGAAGACGCTGAAATTAAGGTCCATTTAGTCACAAGTGATAAGCTGTTTGCTAGGTCATGACACGTTTAAAATTGAAGTCAAACGTAGCATCTCCCATGACTTGAATGCACATTTAGCAACAACATACAGATTTGGGTCTTTGTTTAAGATATACCAACCGTAGGTAGCTCTATGAAATACCGTCTATCATTTCAATGTCTCGATACAAATAGAGTCTCGAAAATGTGACGAATATGATATCTTTACTTTACTTGGACTTTAGCAAGAAACGTCTATTGTAGCACCTGGAATACGGTTAATAGAGTACAAGCAGCCTTGAAGAAACAATCCCACGCAATCTGCAAGCATGACACCGACTGTATCCCCGACTGACGCAGCTGCAAGTGCTAATTCCATGTGACTTGAAGAGATTTCCTTTGATAGTAATGTGTATGCGTTCACGTACACGCCACCTCCAAGCAACCCAACCACGAAACATAATATTAACAAACCCCAATTATACCACAAGTGAGTCACTGCCATAAGCGTAAAGAATCCAAGCAGTAATACTTGCAGCATTGGCATAAAATACAAGATTGGTCTTGTAGCTTGAAATAAAACGCCTGAGGATCTTGATATAAACACACCCACTTGATACGCCAAACCTGCTGACGTATAAAACTCTGCACGTGCTTCTTTTTTCTCTACTGGAAATCCGATAGAAGACCAGACTCCCGTTTGCATTGTATATTCTGCAAAGTAAACCGTCGTCAAAGGAATTATATATGGTCCAAGGGTCAAGATAAATTTCACTTTATCTTGAATTCGCATTACCGATCCGTCATGTACCAATTCTTCCGAGCCAAGTTTGATTTGCTTTAACTCCTCTTCAGTCAATTTTTCTGGAATCGGTATATAGTTACATGGTCTTGCTGAAGGAAGTTTAGCTGTATCAAGAAGAAAAAGGAAGACGAGCAAATAAAGTATTGGAAAGATAATAGCAAGTTTCAATGTCATTTGGAAACTTAGGTTACCCCATATATGAAAAAGAGCTATCCAAGCATATCCTCCAACACCAGCAAGTCCCGTACCACTTGACCAACACGTTAAACAACGCACGGGACTTGCATAAAATGATGACATGGCTAAAAAACTTGCTTCCATCATTCCAGATTGTAATCCAGAAAAACCAACACCAAGTAATTGAAGCCAAAGTGAATGTTTACCATTGGCAACGACTAAGAAACTTAGTATCATCCAACTAGCTCCAACAATCGTGCGCTGACGATAGGATACCAGTTGAAACCAGTATGGACCGGAAAGTTTTACAAACAATGCCGGAAAAATATCAAAAAAGTAGACAAGTCCAACGCCACCTGCTGCAATCTCTTGAGCTCCTGCAATCATAATCACGTATCCAATATTATTGATGAATCCAAGCACCCAAAATGCCAATAAATTGCGGAGCTGTTCCACCTCAGGATGCTTAGTACTCATCTACTTATGTTATTGTAAAATATGAATCTTGCAATGTATTTTTCGTTTTTTATTAAGTTTTAAATTGTTGATAATGAGTCGACACAGTAAGAATGCGACCGCGACGACGCACTTTACGTACCATGAGCGAGAAGCGGCTGGACATGGCACACTTAAACGTCGTTTTGGTCGTGACTCACAGCTTCCTTTTGGTGTGTGCTGTCTATGTCTAGCCACAACACAAAGCCGTAGCCCGCTTGTATCTCCCGGAGGTTTTGTTTATTGCAAAGAATGTATATACGCCAATCTCTTGACTCAAAAACGCTCGAATCAGGAGAACCTGATGGCTTATGAACGGTATGTTGAAATGCAAAATCAAAAAGAGAAGGATGAGATACTGGAAAAAGAGCGTCAGACGCTACAGAAAGCACTGGATGGTGCTGATGGTGCTATGATTGGTTTAGCGACAGAGACTCGAGATCATGCTCGACATGTTGCAACTCAGAAACTCCAAGAAAAAGTCGACAAAGCGACAGATGATGAAAAACGTATTGCTATGAAAAAGACTAGTTTTTGGATTCCGGACTGCACGCCAAGTCAAGAAGTAAAAGTGGAAAAACCAGAGATGAAAACTAAAGATCCTATGAGTCTTGACGAAATGAAGCTTAAACACTTGATGCCAGTGAAATTTGAATGGGATGACAAGTCAAATGTTGTGTGTGCCGTAACGAAAAAGGAGATTTTACATCGACGTGCCGTGCTGCTGAGACCATCGGGACAAGTGATTCTCGAAAGTTGTGTGAAGGACATGGTTTTACCGACCATGACGTGTCCTGTGACGGGCTTGAAGCTTCGCAAGAAGGATATTGTGCATTTACAAGCAGGAGGTACCGGGTTTAGTGCACATAGTACGGTGGAAGCTAAGAAATATAGACCTTCTATGACCTAGATTATTTACAATCTTGGTTCAAGTAAGCTACAATCCAGATCACAAATCGAAAATGTTTTAATTCTAAATGTGTAGATTGGAAAATTGGTCGAGACGAAGTGGTGCTGGAACTCGTTGAGGTCCAAAAGCTCGATAAACCTCTCTTTGAATTGTATCAGACGTTTTGCCTTGACGCAATAAATCACGGATTCCCTGCAGCGTTTGATCCGTCACATCGGCGACAGAAAAGATTGACGCAACAAGTTGCTCGCTCTCCGTCTTGACTTTCCTTTGTTGCTTGATCATGTCCGTACTCGACATCTTTGGCAATGACGATTCAGCTTGTAGTTTATTGTGTGCCACCCTTTGACCAGCTAAACTTTCTTCAACGATTAAAAATGCGTTTTCTGGTTTCAGACATGTCGAGGTTTGGTAATTATCGTCAATTTCCAGCTCAACAAAAATTTCAAACTTACCCGATTCCCGCATTTTCGTCGCTGCGTATCCAGTTTCATAATCGTGTGCGATAAAGAAAACAAGCTCGCGATCCATAAGACCTCGTGTCATATTTTTTGTGGTCTGCCTCTCCATCAGCTGCTGTGAAGTCCATATGCTAGTTGTGATTCCGTGTTTATTTAACAAGCCTGTTGCCAATTCCGACGCTGAGAGATGCCGTTCCAAGCTCTTTTCGTTCATAGTATCAGCTTTCATAATTTTACTTCGTTCAATTGGACTTGGAGATAGAATCACATGTGTAACCCCACGTTCATGGCAAACTGAAGCGATATAGGTAAGTATCGCGGATAATGGATTGAAATGTACATCAAATGAATTCACTAGAGTTGGAGGCATTGGTGGGCCACCAAGTGGTAATACTGCCACGGTGCATACAGATTCTCCTTCCTTCATCGCCTCGGTCTTTAATCGCTTAACATACGCTGCCATTTTGCCATCACTTAGCTCCACTTCAATCAACTTCATTCTATTCCCAGCATCTGTGACTTGGATCCCAATATTATTCCAGTTTACGTCGATTGAATTACTTGTACCGGTCGGAACAATTAAAATATGATCGCCATGTTTTCGTCTTGACACTTTAGAAAGAGCTGAAGTAGCAGGTGCAAGACGCACAATATTCTCTCGAGTTTTTCTACTATCTTTCATGTCATTGTCAGTATCTGCAGCTTCGTGCCAATGCCAAAGACCATATGCAAGTCCGTAACTTCCAGCTACAAGGCGCAAAGTTTGTATAGACTTTATGAGTATCAACCGCTTTCCTACAGCTACAGTGTGCGAACTAGCAAATGCTGTATCGTGTATAAGAGCAGAAAGTGGAAGACCCGACGCTGCGGCAATGTAGTGTGCAGGGATAGATTTCCATACAGCAGAAGGAAGCACATTGGCGACTGCAAATCGCAGTGCAAAACGAAGCGGAATAGGACGCTGCTTAAGCTTTAGACAAGCTTCAGTGAAGCCCAGAGCCAAGGTGGCAAGTAGTGCACTACCCACACCAATAGATTGGTTCCATTTTGGAGCATGAGACGGTAGGGAAGGGAAGTCGGTTGAGACGTCCATCTACTCTTTTCAGAATCGGTATTGTGAATTTTATCTGTAGAATTCCACTTTGTCATCCTTCCTAAACTAAAAATTTACAATTGTATATAGACTAGGATCTGAAAACTAACAAAAAATATTCTCAATCGAATATATTGTACTCATTGATAAATTTTGGTGAGCATTATGCGTTATACATGATGCTGAAGGAATAAAAGCTTACGGCTAACGAATGATAATGCGTGCCAATTTTAGTGAGGACTCATGCCAAAATTGGCTCATCGATGCTAGGGTCAGAGAATCCATGAAATTTATGTGGATAAAAACTTGCAAACAAGCACAATGAGTTGTGTCAAATGGAGCTCTATTTTGCGCGATCGTCGCGACAGCTTTCACGCAGAAGATTGGAGTCAAAACTTATGATACAAACTTAAAGTCCACTGTCTGATTGTTTTTTAAGATGGATGCGAGCGATTATTAGATATAATAGCTACGATGGAGCAGCAAGCAAACTCTAAGGCATTGCGAATGCCGCAAACATTAAACGGTAATTTAGACATGGTACAGCCTCTGTTGAACTAAATCGGTGGCCCGATACGCTACTTCTGCGCAAAATGCTGTAAATGACAGATTGGAAGGAAGGACCTGGTGGTTTGAAGGTAACTTTCCACGTGAATGTAATCTGCTTTTAGCTATGTAATTATGCAAATGGTTGGGAGTTTCATAACTTTTCCTGGTTTACTTTGGTGAAAACTTAACTTGTTTCCAACACTTCTCCCTCGGTGTGCTATAAATCGTCCACGAGACCACAAAGCGCGCGGGGTTCTCCAAGTTTAGTCGCCGACAAAGCCTTTCTCATTAAATCGGCTGTCATTTCCTCACTCTGTACGTATTTCACCTCCATCATTCCGTTTCTGATACGTTCTTGTACATATTTATAGCGTATATTGACATGCTTGAGTTTAGATGTCGAACCTTCGCCTTTCAATTGTACTTAGCTGCTTGGTTATCGACAAAGAGTAACCAGTTATGAATCCCTTGTATGCCAACATCATCCAACATATTGAAAATCCATGTAATTCGGTTGTTACGACCAATGCTGCTATAAATTTAGACTCGGCCCTTGATTGCGACACTGATGCCTGTTCTCGACATATCCATCCGACATTACACCTTGCTACAAATATCACTCCTCCAATCATGGATTTGCGGTCCTCAGTGTCCGCAGAAAAATCTGCATCGCTGTAACCGGTGATAAAACCACCAGGTAAGCCTTCAGTTCGCTCTTGATTTCTCATCTTCAACTTCAAACATTTTGTCGTAGAATTTTTTTCCAAAGTTGTAAGTCTTGTTCCCTCGGATCATGGTTTCTCCTCGTCATCTTATGAACTGCAAATGACAAGTCTGGTCGCGTGCAACGCAAAATCCACAACAAACTCCCCGATAATGACCTGAAATTCTTTGAATCGTGCAATTTAGGCTAGATTCGTCATATCAATGTCCAGAATCAATCGGAATTCTTGTATTCTTTTCGTCATTCATTCCATATTGGTTTAAAAGGTAATAAATAAGGTTTTCTTGATCAAGAAAATAATCTTCATCGTATTTGATGATTCTCAATCCCAAGAACTTGTTAACTTCTCCCAAGTCCTTGATTTGTAAGCTCTTCAGTGAATCAAACAGCTCGTTCACTAAGTCGTCATTGGTCCCAGTGACCGATAAATCATCCACGTATGTTCCAGCGAGTAGTATTCCACGATCATCCTTCTTATAGAACAAACATGGTTCAACAATCGATTGCTTCAATTCCAAATCGATCAATTTTGTACTAAGTAACCGATTCCATAATCTACCGGCTTGTTTAAGCCGTAAAGGCTTTGAAGTAGTAACAATACGGTTTCATTTACAAAATTCACACCCAATTGAGGCTTTGTCTGGCAGCACAGCAAGCGTGAGAGACATAGCTGTATTCGGATCACTATGCAGAGTGTTTAGAGACCAGGGAAAGCAAGATCAGCTCTTCAGAAGCGTTCGGAGTCAGGTACCATCCTGGGGATTTCAGAAGATATCAAAGGATACATAATTTACCTACATGACTCGAAGAAGGTGATTATTACCACTCACTTGAAGTCCATAGAGAGGTTCACGGAAGCCCAAAATGCAGAGTTGCAAGCGACAGCACAGAATTTGCCTCAAAATCAGGGCGATGGAGGAGCAATGGATGATTATCACCCATCAGGAGAATAGGAAATCAAAGTGGCAAAGTGGACCAAGTCGAACAAGGCTTTGAACAAGAAGAACAATAAGAAACCTGCTGAGAAGATGATTACAAGACAAGCTTCAAAACAAAAGAGCAATGAGGAGACTGCCAATCTAGTGATCAACGATCCTAGAACCCCCAATCAAGCAATGAAGACCAAGGATAAAGACTTATGGACTGTTGCGATTTAGTCCGAACTTGACTCAATAGAGCAGAACGGTACTTGGAAACCAGTGATGAAGGCAGGAGTCATAAAAATACCAAATACCAAATGGGTATTTAAGACCTAGACCAACGCACAAGGTGGAATAGAAATACACAAAGCAAGAATGGTTGCATGCGGAAATGAACAAATCTTTGGTGAGGATTTCATGCTTACATATGCGCCTGTCATGGAAATGATCACTGCCAATGTGATATTGGCAATGGCGCAACACTGGAAGGTACGAACTAGACACGGAGATGTGTTTAACGCTTACGTTAAAGCATTCGCTGAAGAGGAATTCCCCATTTATATCAAGTTCCCACGAGGGATGGAGATACGGGATCAAGTATTGAAGGAGTTCGTCT